TCGGTCTATTCCTTCCGGTATCTCCCCCAAAAAGGGTCATAATTTTGTATATACCCATTCAAGCTCATACAACACGAAATTAAGATTCGATTCCGTTATGACTTGGCAAATCTCAATAATTTCATCAACACAAGATCTGTTATAAAGATGGAAGATATCCGACCATTCCTTCTAGGACCTGCCCCACAAATAGTCAAAATTTTGAATAATCAAAATGATCATAAAATCCGAAATAAGCATCCCGTCCAATACAAATTTCGGACATGCCATTGTTTTTACTAACAAAAGATCTGCTGTGAATATGGGATAAATCGGCCCACTCGTTCTGGTACTTCCCCCACAAAGGGTTCAAAGTTTAGAAAAAAAAAAAACACCAACTGCTTCGGAACCTCCACCATATAGGGTCAACACTTTGAATAATCATAACTCAAGGCTGGGGATATACATCATCAACGACTGATACTATTTAACTTGTTTTAATGTTAAATTAAAATAACACAAGTGGTGGAGAGCAGAAGTTAAAGGGTGATTTTTTTAGCTATTATATTTTGGCAACACTGGTCACTCACATTTCATGTTTTGTTTCACTGTCAAATATCTCCAGTTTGGTCTTCAATTTAACCATGATTCGTATTATAAACGAACAAAGCTTGCTAATTATCAAATCTTATTTTCAAAATGCTTGCTCTCTTAAGAAAGTTCATCGCTCGCTTCTTCCATTTTATGATCAGTTTTATTGACCCACTAAAGCGACTGTTCGGGCAATTGAAATTTACCACCAAATTTACATTGTTGGACATCAAAAGCATCAACACACAAACGTAAAGTGCGAACTGAAGAAAATATGACAGCTGTATTGGCCAGTGTTAATGATGACCATCAATTATCGATTCATCGATGTTTCCAGCAATTGGGCCTCTGTTGTTCAACAAGGTGGAAAATTTTGCGGATTGATTTAGGTGTGAAGCATTTCAAAATATAAATGGTGCGATAAGCCGAATGATGAGAATTTTTGTGAAAGTGCTCTTGGAAATTTGGACGAAGGTCCCCAAAAAAAAAAAAAACAAATAAAAAAGCATTTAAGTTCGACCCCACCGAACCCTCCCTTGTTACCGTGCCATTGCGAAAAAAAAATTTTCGTGAGATATCCATCTAAAATGGCAAATTTGAAAAATATAATCCAAAATTTTCCATTAAAAATGTGTCAAGAAACCTATCAAAATACCCGTATGCGGCTATTATTGGGAACAAACCCCTTAAAACATCTCAATAAATTCATCAAAATCTCGAATATCAATGGGATGAAGTAATATTTGGAAAAGCATGAATACACGGAATATCTGGTGGTGATTTTATATAAGACTATAATCATAAGACCTATTTGTGCATGTCCATTGAAAAAGTCGCTAAAACCGTAAAAATACCGAAAATCGGGATATGTAATAACACTTAGTGCGCATATTCAACAATCTACATCTCTTCATCCTCGATACCAAGAGTGAACCAAAATCAATACAATTTAGTAATTTTCGAACAATAATAGTATGCACTTCCAAAACCACCACAAGATCTCAAGACCAGACACCTACAGAGAGCTCAATATCAAATTTTAGGTTCCAGCTCTACATATTCACTCAATACAAAATTCAGTACCATCTAGTACTTTTCGAAGAATTATGGTACTTATTTTCAAACGAATATGCATATCTCAACCTCAAATATCAACAGTGACTTCAATATCAAATATTCCTTTACCGAATACCCAATTCAGAACATTTTGTACTTTTCGTACAAATACAGGACATATTTCAAGTTTTAGTTTAAAAAATACCAAATTGTACCATTTTGCAGGTTTAGCACTTTTTAGAACTTTTCGTAAACTTAAAATTTGACTTTGCAAAAATCCTTTCGTATAACTATTCTGCACTCCATTAGTGGCTCTCATTGCAAATTGTTGACTAAATTTTTAGTTCATTGTAGTACTTTTCGTACCCATTCAGTACGAATTTTCAAAAAGACTCGGTCTCGTGTAAAAATTTTAAAATTTTAACTTCAGCCGTTTCTCCCGTTCAATTATTCGTGTCGAAATGATGGAAAGAGTCTGCTGAAATGGCACTAAGCGGATGGATCATTCGGTTGCAGTCTCGGTTAACATTTGCATGAAATGATTTACAAACAGTAAATTATATGAAACCTGCTTTCAATTCAAAGATAGATTTAATAATTTTTTCTGAACTCTATGTGTTTTTTTCTACAGCTCTTGGAAATCACTTCTTACTCCAATAACAATTTATATCAAGTCACATATTCACTTATCGCATTATCAACTTTGATAAAGAAAACAAGCCTTTTCTATGTTTCTGTCTCTCTCACTCTCTCTCTCTCTCCCTCTCCCTCTCTCTTACTCACTCCTCCACATCAGACCTCTTTTACATTCTGTAAATATTGTAAAAACCACCTCCAATAATTTTAACAATAAAAATTTCCCTTGCAATCATTCACAAAATGAAAGCAATGACTCAATTCGCCAACATTTGTTTGTTTGCAAAACAAAAAGAGAGCCAAAACAACCAACGTTGGCAATGAATTCACTTTCAATTTTGGGACTAATGACACAGACCCGGTAGACAGACGGACGGACAGGCGAATCAAACGAATTTTGTTTTATGGCTAAACGTTTATCATCAGAGTCGCTGACTTTATTTCTCTTGAAAAGAATCAAGTTTTTTTTATTGACCAAAGAAGAAAAAAAATTACCAACAACCATGGCCTTAACAGCAGAAGTTTGCGAAAAGCACCGGTTAGCCGGCCGGCCGGCAAGAGAAATACAAAACAACGCCGTCACCACCTTCTCTACCACCAACACCAGCCGAAAGCATTATAACTTGTTTTGTGATACAAACCCCATATATCACAAAAAGAAAATGTTAAGGTTTCTAAATGCAGCATCTCAACATCTACGCTGGCCGCAGCTCTTGGGGTTTTTTGTTTCATTTTCACCGGAATATGGCCAGCCACTTCAATTTGGCCAAGTTAGCGGCAGACACGTTCGCACACATGATTTGGGAGAGCGAAATTGTGTTTTGGATGGTGATGGCGGGAGTTATGCTGCCTACAATCGATGACGATTGATAGCTACAAGCATGAAGATGAAATGTTGTGGTAGTGGTGTTGGTGGGGGAGATGGTAGATCTGGCCTGATGATCTCTCCGGCCATCGGTGTGTGGGACTGGTTTTTGAGACTGCGTGTGTTGCGTTTTTTGTTGCTTTGCTAATTTTTTTGGGAGGTAAAATAAACACCAAAACTTAGACATTAGTCTCACATTTGAAATGACGTGTTTTTCTTTACTTCTTCCTCCTCTGCCTCTCCCTGCAAAAACACTTACCACTTATCCAAAATAAAACCAGTAAGGAAAGCTCAAAAGTCGGGCGGGGCCGACTATATGATACCCTACACCACTATGCATATTTAGTAGAGCTCTCGTAAAAAGGTTTATACAGGGCATTTCAGAGCTCTATGAGATATTTGGTACAAAATCAAAATCTATCTAATTCTATCGTGCATTTTACGAACTATAGCTATCTCTGAACCGGGTTTCTCCAAATTTTACGTATTAGCTTCCAGACTGGTGATTTGGGCTGATATTGACCATTTAGTGCACATTTAACCCGAAATCGGATGAAGATATATATGAGAGCTATATCCAAATCTGAACCGATTTCGATAAAATTTAAAACAGCTATTCCTGTGCTCCATCTAATACCTGGTATCAAATATCACGGTTGTAGAGTGAATATTACGAATGTATGGGACTAAAACTCTAAATCGGATGAAACATATATATGGTTGCTATATCTATATCTGAACCGATTTTCACTAAATTTGATATACTTGCTCCTAGGCTGAATTTGGTCCGATGTACTAAAATTCAGTCCATTTGGACTTATATTGGCCATTTGGTGCACAATTAACCCGAAATCGGATGAAGATATATATGGGAGCTATATCCAAATCTGAACCGATTTCGATAAAATTTAAAACAGCTATTTCTGAGCTGTATCTTATATCTGGTACCAAATATCATTCTTGTGGAGTGCATATTACGAATGTGAGAGGCTTAAACACCAAATCGGATGAAAGATATATATGGGAGCTATAGCTATATCTGAACCGATTTTCTCCAAATTTTATATACTTGCTTCTAGGCCGAACTCGGTTGGGTGTACCAAAATTCAGGTAATTTGGACTGATAGTGGACATTTGGTGCACATTTAACCCGAAATCGGATGAAGATATATATGGGAGCTATATCTAAATTTGATCCGATTCTCACCAATTTCAATAGGGTTTGTCCTTGGGCCAAAAAAATATTTTTTGGAAAATTTCATCTCAATCGAATAATAAATGCGACCTGCATTTTGTTCACAAGAATACATGGACAGACGGACGGACGGACGGACGGACGGACGGACAGACGGACTGACATGCATAAATCGACTCAGAAAGTGATTCTATGAAGGTTCTCAAAAGTAACTATGGGTCTATCTCGTTTCCTTCTCCATGTTACAAACAAATGCACAAAGACATAATACCCTTACCACTATGTGGTGTAGGGTATAAAAAAATGGAAGAAAAAAACGCTTAAACTTGAAAATGAAATTAAATAATGGCGTGATTGTTTCGGCATTTAAGGAGTTATTAACACAACTACCAAAATCGTGACCAAATAAATTCACCAAAAATTCAAAAGTAGAAGACGAAAAAAAAAACAAAATTGGAGTGGATATTGTCTACGGTAGCCCGTTTTTTTTTTATTTCAACGAATTATTAGCCACTGGCCTGGCCTCATTGATTGATGAAAGGGGGGATTTTTTCGTTGAATTTAATAAATTTTGAAAGTTTATTGAGTGTTTAATTGAAGCTAAATAGCATTGACATGAAGAGGTTTTTTTTTTTTTTTTGTTTGTGTTTGTGGATTTTGCTGAAATTGTTTAATTACCTTTTTAAAGACATCAAATTTGCCGCTATACGTCGATATAGGGATTTTGCGCTTTTTTGCTGTTTTTGCTATGGGTTATTTATAAAAACTGCAAAGAAAATAATGAAATAAAGAAATGGGGGTTAATAAAATGAAGTAATTATTTGAAATATAATATTAAAAATATATATTTTTTTACAGAAGGTACATGAAAGTATGAATGAAAGTCCTATATATATATTTCTTTTTTTGGACATAAAATTTAAATATTCATGCACAGCCCATATTTTAATAGAAAAACACGTTTTTTATGCTTTAAAAGACCCTGTCAAAATATTCCTGAAAAATCAAAAACTTTTGTCGGGAAAGTCCTTGTAAAATCCGGGAAGAGCTTAAAAATATGTTTAAAAGCAGGTACATAGGCAGTCCATTTCTAACTCTTAATATCTCCACATGTATGGATTATATTTTCTCATGTCTATTTCAAACTTTAAATACAAACTTTGAAACCATTAAAATACGGTATACCCGGAGGTCCAATAATATGGGACCCGTACCAGAACATACTGGGAACACAAATTGCCCTGTGGTCGCCGAATTGGTGGTAACTATGACTAAAATCTTAAAAACCTTCAATAGGGCGGTGCCGTTATATGGGGAATCTACCAAAACGTGGACATTTTATATAACCCATTTTCAATATCAAAAATTGTACGATTCTAAAATACATTTACAAAACCTCCCTATGTCAGTTTATTGAAATCATTCTAGCTTCCGAACGAAATGGTGTGTTTTAGGACCGCAGAACTTTTGGTATTGAAAATGGGCTATATAGGTGTATACAGGGTGAGATGGAAAAACGGCAACCAACTTCAATTGCTGTCATTTCATTTTTTGTTGAAATTTTTCCAGAAAAAAAAGCTATTTGTGATAGAGCACTCCAGCATTTAAATTTGAATAAATCTTTTGTGTCTCGTACCATCGCTCGTTACAGTAATAATGGTAGCGTAGCCCGACGTCAAGGAAGTGGACGGAAGAAAATAGATACATCAGCAGAAATGGTTCGAAAAGTAAAGAAGCGACTTGATCGAAATCCGCGTCGCAGTGACTGAACATATCGTAATATTAAATTCGGCAAATATTGAAAAATGAGCTCGGGGTAAAGCCAGAAAATAGACTCAAAAGAGCTAAAGAGTTGCTTCGCTTGGCCAAAAGTGGTGAACTGCCGAATATGGTTTTCTCCGATGAGAAAACATTCGTGGTCCAGCAGTTTGTAAACAAACAAAATAATCGTGTTTGCTTGCCAAAGGGGTCAGCTGAAAATGTGCACCTTCGTTTGGCCACCAGAATTCAAGCGCCGGCCAAGGTATATCGCGAAAATATTCTGGAGGGCGTGTACTATATTCAGTACAATTTGAATTTGAGAGAACCGAAATTTTATGTTAAGGTCACTTTTGGTGTCTGTGGTTAAGATTTGGAGTTGGTTTTGAAAATGTGTACTTCAGGGTGAGATGAAAAAACTGCAATCAACTTCAGACTGCTGTCATTTCAAAGCCACTCGTCCGGCAGCTGTTAAATTTTTTCCAGGGTCAGCTCATTATATTGTTTACAAGCGTACAAAATCATTTTGGTGAGAATTTTCCAGAAAAAAAATTATTCGTGATATAATTTATGAGTGATGGTGTGATTTCATTATATTTGGCTTGAAAACCACAAGTGGCTATCGTTAGAGCACTCCAGCATTTAAATGTGAATAAATCTTTTGTGTCTCGTACCATCGTTCGTTACCGTGATACTGGTAGCGCAGCTCGACGTTAAGAAAGTGGACGGAAGAAAACAGCAATATCAGCAGTGGCCGAAAAATGGCTCGTGAGCTGAACATATCGCAATATTCCATTCGGCTCGTATTAATCGACCGTGGCATCAGAATAAATGGTGCTAAAGGCATGCAAACAGTTTGGCCGCAGATCTTGGACATTCCAACAAGACTCAACACCATCGCACTCAGTTTGTCAAATTTAGTAGAAATCTATATAAGTTCCTTTCGGCTTATGGGTTGCTATGGTAGCTCCTCCAAGTAATCAGTATGATGGTTAAATGGAAATTCTCCAACATTCAGTACATTGAGCAACAACAAATCCGCAAAATCATGCTCAAATATATTTACACTTTTCTCTTCACAAAAGCAAATTATAAATATTGATTTTCCCAGAAATCTCTTTAACTCAGTGTATTCACACGAAGAGATTATCAACTGGGATTTTTTTTTTTTTTTGTATAATGTAATTTAAGTTTAAAATAAATATTCCATTGTATAAACGAGAATTCTTAAAATATTTGAGAATTCCCATAATAAGTTCCAAATTTTTTCTTGTACAAAATTTATAGCATCTTTAAATTTGAGCTTTTTGTGTGTTCATTCGATTTTCTAAATCCAGCAGCTCGTTAAATAAAAAAAGTTAAAAAGTATCAGTCGGTTTTGCCGACAGATGTATACCAATGTACGATTAAAATGGTTGAACCTCTATGGAGTAGGTTCCGAAGGAATGAACCAATATTGTCCATTTTGTAACGGACCTAATTAAATATGATATAAATATTGCGACATGCCAGGTTTGGACTATATTGCCTACTTCCTTCACTTTGTATGAGATATGTGATAATTTTTAGAAAATGTTAAAATGTGCATGAGGTGCTAGATATAGTCGACCGAAGTATTCAAATTTCGTACTCCATCTTACACAGATAAAAATATTGGTATGGGCAAAATTACAAAAAACCAACATCTATAGCCAGTTTTATGCAAAATTATTCATTCATCTAAGGATGTTTCGCAAGTTATGACATATAAAATTATTTGAAGAAAGTTTGATGCTTATTTCAATTTGACCATTTCTAGGCGAGGTACCATAAGGAATGGTCAGGTCTCTACCATCTTAATAACAGATTTTTTGCTGATAGAAATGTGGAGATGTGCCAAGTCTGAATGGAATCGGATGTTAATTTCGCGTTTTATTAAGTTCAAAGATATTCATACCTTTGTACCTTCCCATACAAAAATGACCCTTTGTATGGGAAGGTACCAGAAGGAGTGGACCGATGTATACAGCAGATCTTGTGTTTGTAGTAATAATGGTATGTTGGAAATAAGAAGAGAAACAGATGCTTATTTCTTTATTTTTATGAGCTTCAAGGGTATTCAAGATTTTGATCTTTTTTTGGGGGAGGTACCATTTTCCAACCAGACCTTGGGTTATTGAAAATACTGTGATGTGTGTAATTTGAACACATATCACATTTTATAAGAATTATAAGTAGTCAAAATTTTGACCCTTTCTATGATCGCACCTGACCTAGCACTGATGCGAATATTAGAATTTGCAAAGTTGAAGCAAAATTGGATTTTCCTTTCTGTGCAGTATTTTTTTAAATTTTCCTGATTTTTGTTGTACTTTAGTACAGGAGTGGAGTGGACCGATAATACCCATATCCGAACTCGATCTAAGTTTGATAATAGTATTACGATGAACCATGTTTGGTCCAATCGGACACTCTTTTCGAGAGCTATCGTGCGCACCAGTTTGCCAAACGGACGGACGTCGCTAGATCGACTCCAAAGATGCCTTTGGTCTAACGATGACGCACTTTTGGTCGTACTAAATGATATATACCCTCTCTAGCCATATAGCTGAGGGAATTCAAAAATTATTAAGGAAAGATACATAAAATGGGCAATAAAGAAAATGTTTTTCACATAATATTTCCCTAAAACAAGAATCCGCAATCTGTGTAAGGTAAACGTATTATAAGTTTTTATAACAAAACTCTTCTTCGAAGTATTTTTCGGACCCTAATTAGCCGACTCATGCTGAGTGATTTAAATGATAACAATAACAAATAAAATTAGTACAACAAAAACAAACACAACAGACTTGTTGCAGAAAGGTAAATAATATTTTATTTTCAATTCAATCGAAAATTGATGAGGTGTAACTTCTAATAATGAAAGGCAAATAAATAATAATAAAATCAACAATAAACATTAATATTATACGCCGCCAAGGTAGCAGCTGATATTGTTATTGTGCGTTTATATTGAATTTGTTGTTGCCGTATATTGAGTGCATTATTAGCTGTGTGTTTGTTTATCAGTATGTGATGCAGTGGAATATTTATTTTTAGGTCATTACCTTAGATTTTTGTTCTTGACCACGGCAGGTAAATTTTTAAATTTAGTTTTCTTCGAAAAATAGGTATTCTCAAAATATTTTTGTAACATAGAAAAGGAAGCGTGTTAGACCCATAGTTCTTTCTGATCTGCATAGAATCACATTCTGAGTCGATTTATGCATGTCGGCCACCTGTCCGTCTGTGTATGTATTTTTATAAACGAAGAACAGGTCGCATTTATTGTCTGATCAAGACGAGCCCTCTTAAAATTGGTGATAATCGGTCCAAATTTAGATATAACTAACATATACAGGGTGAGATGAAAGAACTGCAAACAACTTCAGACTGCTGTCATTTCTAAGCCACTCGTCCGACAGCTGTTAAAATTATTTCAGTGATAGCTCATATATTATATTGTTTACAAGCGTATAAATGCATTTTGGTCAGAATTTTCCAGAAAAAAAGTTATTCGTGATGGAATTTAAGCGTGATAGTGTGATTCCTTTATATTTGGCTTGAAAACCACTAGTGACTATCGTTAGAGCGCTCCAGCACTTAAATGTGAATAATTCTTTTGTGTCTCGTACCATGATACTGGTAGCGTAGCCCGACGTCAAGGAAGTGGATGGAAGAAAACAGTAACATCAGATGAAATGGTTCGAAAAGTAAATAAGCGACTTGATCGAAACCCGCGTCGCAATGGCTGAAAAATGACTCGTGAGCTAAACATATCGCAATATTCCATTCGGCAAATATTGAAAAAAAATGAAAATCCAAAAAGTGCAAGAACTTACACCGCAACAGAAAGAAAATTGACTCAAAAAGAGCTAAAGAGTTGCTTCGCTTGGCCGAACGTGGTGAACTGCCGAATTTAGTTTTCTCCGATGAGAAAACATTCGTTGTGCAGCAGTTTGTAAACAAACAAAATGATCATGTTTA